ATGGTGGTGATGATAGTGGCAATGATGGTGGCAATGGGATCTTTGTGAAGATGGTGGTGGTGATGATAATGGTGATGATGGTGCTGACAGTGATGATGATGATAGTGGTGATGATAATGGTGGTGGTGATGGTGGTAGTGGGATGATGGTGAAGGTAGTGATGATGATAATGGTGATGGTGATGGTGGTGATGATGTTGGTGGTGGTAGTGATGGTGGTGATAGTGATGGTAGTGGTGATAATGGTGGTGGGATGATGGTGATGGCGGTGATGATAATGGTGATGATGATGGCGATAGTAATGGTGATGGTGATGGTGGAGGTGATGATGGTGGTGATGATGGTGATGGTGATGATAATGGTAGTGGTGATGGTGGTGATGGTGGTGATGGTGGTGATGGTGGTGATGGTGATGACCATGATGGTGTGATGATGACAGAGGTGTGGGAGCTGAGGACTTTCTCCTGCCAGTCACTGCTCTGAGCAGCTACCTGTGTTTCCCATTCCATCCTCACAGCAGTGGCCATTAGCACTGTCAGCGTCATCCCCGTCCTTACAGTAAGGAACTGGAGCACAGAGGGTTCGGTGTCTTCCCCAGGCTCGTGCAGCTAGGGATTGGCCCATTAGCTGGGATTCACACCCAAGCCACCAGCCCCACAGCCCTATGACCTTGTGCGGCCTCTGAACACAGGAGGGTCCAATAAGGGACCCAAGATGGACCGTGGGACCTGGTGTCAGACTCCCTTGTCCACCTGACGCTGAGTGACGGAAACGTTCCATGCTTTCCCAAATGCCCCAGTCTCCCAACCAAGGAGGGTGGAACCCAGGACCTGATCTAGGGGATCCAAGGAGGCAGCCATGGTGGGAGTTGAGAGCAGAGGCTTGACCTCAGGCTGATCCGACTCACCTCCCGGCCTACCATCCGCTAGCCTGCCACCCGGGCAGGTGCCATCCCCCTCCGGATGGGGCTGGTGGCACCTTAATTCCTAGAGTTGCCATGGACATTTGATGACCCAAGGCACAGTGAGTTCTCGGTGCAGACCTGGCACTCAGGCGCTATCAGCAACGCCCCTCGTTAGTGCTGTTCCTGTTGTCATCCTGGGCTGGGGACAAAGCTCAGGAGGGGAGCTCCTGCCTAGCCCGCAAAGGCCCTGAGCTCAGCCCCCACTACTGAAAAAAAATAAGAATCCATGCTGTCCTAGGACGCATCCCACTTTCTCCTCAACATTTTTCCTGGGGAACCTAGAACCTGCCGGTGTGATAAACACCAGTTCACACCCTGGAGAAAATTATGACCTCCGTAAAATCATGGTCACCATAGTAAGAGGCTCAGGGTTGAAATTCCAAAAGAGACGGGGAYTCCGGGCAGGGACTGAAGAGATCCCCAGGTCCCCAGGGATGTCCATGGGAGGGCCACCCAGCATCCTCCTTTAGTTTCTTAGATTTTAATGAACTTTATCTTGGAATCATTTTAAATTTGCAAAAGAAAAAAAAAAGGTCAACTCCCCATTACTACAACCAAATACCCCGGTGACTCACGTACAGAGGTCGCAGGCTGGGGTCGTTTGGCGGGGTCTCTGGGGCACCAGTGGCCTCACTCCCCGGGTGGCCTCACTTCCTGTGACTAGGGGGAGACTCCAAGAGGTCCACACCTCCCAGGAGCCCCACGTCTGGGGACTGAGCCTTTAGCACAGGGGCCTTTGGGGACATTCCAGATCTGAACGATAGCAGAGAGCAGAGAGAGGCCACCTACCGGTCCACCCCGCCTGCCCTCAGGGGAGCACGTCAYCTGCCCAGTGCTTCTTCAGAACTAAGAGACTAGCACTGGTGTCCCCTCCGTGCCCACGGCTCCTTCCCACCCCTGGCCTTGTCCAGTCCCCTTGTCCCAGGACTCAGCCAGCATGCCCTCTTGAGCTTCATCGTTGGGTATTTATTTATTCACTTATCAATTATGCTTTTTCCTTTTTCTTTCTGGGAACAAAAATAACCTGTTTCTATAACATGGAAAGAAACTGTCCAAAGTAGGAAAGGGAGGGGGGTTCGCAAAGATGACGCTGCGGACAGTGGGTCAGTGTCCACTCGGTCTTTCTTTCC